AAATTAATGGGTGGCATCCACTTTTATTTATTATTATTTTTTTAAAATTTATTAATTAATGTGTGAATAAATAAATGATTTCGGTTTGATTTATGACATACATTTTTAGGGTTAAAGTTGGCTTGTCTTGTTCCTTCCATTTCGCAGAGGTTGTTTTATCATCTCGAATAAAATATATTCATAGGCCCATAGTATTATTTCTATATGGATCCATTGTTTTGATATAACATTTGACTCAACTTCTGAATTAAAAAATTAGGACTCATACAATTATATATATCGGATAAGTTTAGAGTAGATGATATTTTATTTAATTAAATCTATAGTGATTAATTAATTATATAGTTAGTAAGATGTTCGGTATGTAAGATTCGATTTTGTATTAAATCTGTTAATTTCTTGTGTTATATGTGACTTGACTATAAAATATTTTATTTAATAAAGTTAATTTGTAGTTTAAATGGTAAAAAAGACTTTTCATTGTTTAAGTCACCCCTATAAAATTAATCAGGGGAAAAAATGCAACTAATTTAATAAAACAATGATACTAATTCACTTAATAACAAACTTTTAATTTTGTAGGGGGTTTGATAAGTACAATTTTTTTCAACTGATCAAGTACATATGTGATAGACTTTTGGTCAATGTTTGATTCTAGGCTAAAATAAAATAAATAGAAAATAAAAGTTTACATGTGGTGTACCATCATCATAAAAACAAGAGGTTGAGATTACATTAGGAGAAAGAATTCTTTCTCCACCTTCAACTTTAGCCCACATAGCAACATTTTGGGCTGCAAAATTTGAATTTTAATTGACAAATTTGAACTTCCACTTAGGCCATAATAATGCACAAAGTCTACGAATATCATTAATTAATACCTTGACATTCCAATCGATAATGCAGTTAAAATTCAGGCGAGCGTGGCCAAGATCGATTTTTTTCGTTTTTTTTTTTTCGGATTCGTAATCTACATAACAAGAGGATCGTAAAAACGTAAAAATTACCTCCGATCTGTTGACGATTTGCACGGGCTTTGCGAAAGAAAATCGAAAGGGTAGAGAGAGTTTTTGAGTTTTTTACTTTTTGTTTTTTGAAAAATGGTAAAAAATGTGCCTTACTGTTTAATTTTGGCCTGCACAAATCATTTCAGAAATTCCATTCACAAAACCCTTTGTTGAGCCTACTCGAACCCAAGAGTTTTTTACGACATCGTAAAAAACTCATGGGTCGACAAAGGCTTCGGTATAGTATCTACCAAATAATGGATGTAAACCGGATGAATGGAAACAACCTTCTCGAAGAAAATTAGTTTTTTTTTTCATAACTGAAACGAACTTTTGATTCCGAAGATTTTGGAATCCGAAAATGGGTTCCAATTTAGATGTATTCGGAAATTTTAAGAGAACGTGTTAATAAAATCAAATCTCAACATCACATCCAAATTATAGAAAAAAGTTAAAATTGTTTTACAAAGCTTACGATCAGAGCCGCAAGGGTATTCTGGTCATTCCAAATGGATATTCCATGGAATTTATCTGATTTCGTTTCTATTTACTATGTGAGTGTAAATTCATTAGACGGAGAATACTTTAGAGTGGTACTTGTAATTATAAAAAAACAGGAAGGTTTTTTTGTAATTAGTTTTTTTTCTCAGGGTTCCTTGTAATTTACTCTTAAAAGTTATCATAATTACTCAACACAAGAACACAATTTTCCTATATTACTCCATTACTCAATTTTTATAAAGAAATATCAAACTATTAAATTCCCTATCTATTTTAATATGATAAAATTCCATCCACACCAACCATTACACTCACTTGCCACTACTACAATCGGCCACCATTGTTTTCGTTCGCAAGAAACTGAAAAGAGAGGAGATAAATTGATTTGTTATTCTTGAAAAAAGAAACCCTCGTTTTATAAACTAAGTTAGTTTTTTGATTTCTTGATTTAATTTGTGCATAAACAATAATACATTTTCGGGCGACGGACTGTAAATCGGTAGACAACAACATAAAAACGCGAACATAATCGGTGATATAACCAAAGTTCCGTCGAACAATTGGTAGAGTATATATTAAACGAAATGATCCAAAATGCTATTTTGGACCATTACATACGAAGTATAAGCATCTCAATTGATGTATTTTGCACTTCAAGAATTCATCCATCCGAAATAAACATTTTGTGTTCATAATATGAAGTATACAAGTTTTTAAAATATATTTGATTTATTTATGGGGTAAATTAAGGTCATATTATGAAAAACCCTTTCTTGTTTGGGTAATTACAATTACCCTCTCAACTATGAATTTTCTTACACGTTACCCCTAGAGGAATCTTCTAGATTATATGGAGTATTCTTAAGTTTGTACCCGTTTTATCGCATTCGACATCCACATTTTGAAGAAAGATGAAATCAGATGTGTTTCTTTTTTGGGTTGCATAAATCGGATTGCGGTACATCTGAAACTGTATTTTTGCCAAATGAGTACAACCTAGAGAAAATTCCACGAAATATAGAAGATTATACAGAATTTAATACCATAAGTCTGGACGTGTAAAAAGATTTATAATTGCTGGTGTAATTACCCAAACATGAAAGGTTTTTACGTAATGTGACTACACATCAAGGGTGGTTGTTATTTACCCTTTATTTATGAGAGTAGGAACGGTACTCACTTGAAGAAGTATACAAGTAAGGCTGTAAGGGTTAAAGTAGGATAGATTGGATTGGAATTAGCCTTTTCAGAAAATTTCAAAAAAAATTTGAAAGTACAAAATCAATTCCAATTTCAATTCCAATTCCAAAATTTTCGGAATCTAAAAATTCATTCAAATTCCAAAAAGCACGGAAATTTCAGAATTTTGGAAAATAAATCGGAAATCATATAAGCTTTAAAATTTCAAAACTTAGCCCAAATTTTCTAAAATGTTCATAATTTAAAAAAAAATAAGAACATCCACGTCGATATAAGTAAAACTAATTTTGTTAGAACCGGACCGGAAACGGCCGGTCGAACCGGTTCGACCGTGACCCGGCAATAAAGCGGTCCAGTCTGACATCTAAAACCGGAACTATCAAAAACCAGGGTCAAATGACCAAAATTCGGTTCGACCGGGTAAAACCGGAGAATCGACGAGTCAGTCAAGGAACCCGGTTTTCGGCCAGAACGTCTCGAATCACCGCAAAGTTGGTTATTTGTGGCTAGATTTGAGCAAACCTTCACAGACTTAGTAGTGGACGGCCGGATCTAGTCATGAGTGGTCAAAAGATTGTCGGATATGATCATGAGTGATCGAATAGGGGTGGCCGCTTGTCGGATTTGAAGAATAAAAATTAGAAAAATATAGAGTATAAGCAATAAAATATAGTAAAAAGTGAGGTGAAATAGTTTAAAAATAATATTTTTAAAACATTAAAATTAATAAAATAATAGCATATTAAAAAAGTTCAAAAACCCGGTCGAACCGGTTCGACCCTATAAATCCATGACCCAAATGGTCGTCCGGTTCTATAGCCGACCCAATTCTAAAAACATTGCTAATAACTACTAAATTTCAGTTCAAAAAATAAATAAAAATAAACACTACATAATATCTAATAAAACTTCTAACAACAATTCATTATGTCAAAATCCTAAAACAAAACTTATAGGTGTATTTTTCCGAGAAATAAGTAATATATAATATATATTAATTATAGGTATATTTTTCGAAAAAAAATCGGATCGAAAATCGGAAATTCCAAATTTATTTTATATAATTCCAATTCCAATCCAAAAAAATCGGAAAAATCAAAAATTAAAATTTCAGAAGTCGGAATAAAAAAAGTTGTTCTAAAATTGGAACTTTTCGGATCAGAACCGGGCGAAAATTAGAAATTCCGTTCGAACTTGCACCCCTATATACAAGCGAGCTTCCTAAACAAAATAATTTATGCATACAAGTTGATATGGTATAGGATATGAAATTAGAAATGCAGCTAAATAGTAAGTATCCCACATCGAATGTTGAAGGAGATATGCGGTGATGGGAGTACAATAAAATAGGGTGTGTATCTGCAATTATAAAGTATGATCCTTCAGGCAAGTTTTAACGGGAAGTGATGAGTGGTAAATACTCGCAATTAAAAAATGCGAGATGGGTGTCTGCCTAGCCTGTTACGACAACTGGGCACTCCCCTTCTTAACCTATCTGATCCTTTAAATTCCAACCATTATTATTCAATAGGGTTGATAATAGTACAAAATTTTATATTTTGTCTTATTTTTTTATTATATTTTTTTATAGTAAATTACGACCACCTTAGAACTGAGGTGAAGTTAAATTACGAAAAATTCATTTCTATTTGGGTAATTACAATTACCTCTCTCAAGTATGAAACTTGTAACTTATCCATTCTTGTGGTATCAAATTTAGTGGAATCTTCTGGATTATATGAATATTTTTAAGTTCGTACTTGTTTTATCGTTCGAGATCCACATTTTGAAGCAAGATGGTTATAAGATGTATTTTTTGGCTTTTGCAAATATTAAATTGTGGTGCATCAGTTTTATTTTTTCATAAAACGAGTACAAATTAGAGAACATTCCACATAATCTAGAAGATTATGTTGAATTTGACACCGTAAGCCGTAAGGGGTGGACGTGTAAGAAGATTTATAGTTAATGAATAGTTGTAATTACCCAAACACGAGAGTTTTTTTTTTTTTTTTTTTTTTTTTTTCCTTTTCATAATTTGACCTTACTTCACGGGTGGTGGTAATTTCCCCTTTTTTTTATTAGTCGAAAGTCCTCTAATTTTAATATGGCAAATATACCCCCATTAAAATTTAATAGAGTATGTTTTTTTTTTGAGAAAGAAATTTAGTAGAGTATGTTAGTAGTCCCGCTTCTTGATCAACGCATAGTTTTTTTCTATGCTACATCGGGTGAATTTTCATCGTTGATCTACACACCAATATGGGTATGCGTGTGTTTGTGTGCTTATGATTTATCAATGATAAACATCTACCCGATGTATTTAATCTGATGTAGCATAGTATAAACCATCAATACACCGGTTCGAATTATTTGACAGATAAAAGTTTATTTATTTATTTATAGCATAAACTAAAAATAAAGGGAGATAAAATAAATAATTAATGAAGGAGCAGACTATATTTTCATCTCATTCTTGATGGCTGTTGCTAAGTGATCATATGCTTCTGCCCAAGCACCATTCATCTCCTCACTCCACTTGTCTCCAGTTCCCTCCTGTACTGTTCTCAACAATGCTTCTTTCACCACCTATTATATATATATATATATATATATATATATATATATATATATATATATATATATATATATACATTCATAAACTCATATATTATGTGTATTTATTTAGGTTTATTGCAAAAAAACACCCCTGTTTTAGTTTAATTGTTAAAAGGGTAAATTACAACAACCTAGGGAGGTAAAGTATAATTACAAAAAAAAATCCCTTTTTTTAGAAATTACATCCAACCCCTACAGTTTATAAATTTCTCACATTCACCCCATACAAAGGGTGTTAATGTAAGAAATCTAGAAATTTTAGGGGTGGATGTAATCATAAAAAAAGGAGAGATTTGATCGTAAATATACCTTACCTCAGAGGTCAGTTGTAATTTACCCTTGTTAAAAGAAAAAACCCTTAATTCGTGTTATTAGGCATTAGAGAAAACCTACCATATGGTTTCGATATCGATGACACAAATATTCTTTTAGCAATTTGATACTCGTGGAGTCCATGAATTTACTATAAGGGTGAACTTAAATTTCCGGGTTCAGTACGGTGCCTCCGAAAAAAGAATTGGACCTTTTGTCTTAGATAAATTATGATCTTTACATTCTATCATCCCAAAAGTAACGACACGATTTATTTTATCACATAAATAACGAATTTGGTCATGGGCTCAAATATATTTTATCCTCTAAACTACATGTTAATTTTGTTAAATGAAAGGTTGTAAACGAACATCGTTAGTCAGTAGAGAATTATTTCAATCTCCTCTAATCCAAACTAATCCGATATAGGTAATCGAGAGCAATCGAAATTAAAAAATGAAAAAGAAAATGAAACAAACTTGTGTAACATGAACTAAATCATAGATTTGGCATTTATGAGTTTTGATGATATTTTTTTTTTTTGGTTATTTAGTAAAAATTATTGTGGATCGGAGCAAGTAAAATTACATAAAAGGACATGGAAAAAGAAGTAAGTTTACCTCAAAATGGGGGTCAATGACTCCTTTTTCAAGATGAATAGAACCCAACCATTTGAGAGTAGTTTCTCCAACTACCACTTCACCTTTCTCATCTAGTTGAATGGCTGATTCACATGTCTTTCCTCATTTTAATTATCAAATAATTAGTCATTTTTAATACACAAGATATATACATATCTGAGAAATTAAAATTCTATCGCTAGTAGAAAAATAGTTTTTTACTACCACATAAATTTGTAGGGTAAGATACCAAATTGATAGTTAAAAGCTTTTTGCTGCGATTTTCTATGAGTTTTCTCTGTAGCGAATACGGGCGTGACAAAAATTTTGCTACAGTAAACGGCCGCAGCACATACTTTTTTGATACGGTAAATTCTAGCATTTACTACGACCATTAGATTGTCGCCGTATTAAAATATATCTTTCGTAACGACTCTTATTTTAGCAAACAATCGTCTAATTTATGGTGAAATATTTGCAAATAAGTTTGAATTTTTACCTTATTATGGTGGAATGTCTAAATTGTCTTAATAAAGTACTTTAAGGGTGCCTTTCAAACTATAACACTTGAAACTACTTTTTTTTTTTAGTAAAATCAAAAGTTAATGATCGATGTAAACATTAAAAATAAAATAATAAGGGAAAGAAAAACTCATATAAAAGGTTTCAAATCCCACTAAAAATTAAGGGGATATAGATTTCGTTTCTCAAGTCTGCACTGATTTCACATTTGGGCCCACATGTTCACAAAAAACAAATTTGGTCCCTTATGTTTCAAAAATTCAACACTTTTAGTTATACCTGTCAATTTTTCGTTAAAACTAACAGAACTAAGCGTGTTCCATGACTGCCTTAACTAAAGGATTAACGGTAAATTGATGGAAATGACCAAAAATGTTAAATTATTGGAACATGAGGGACCAAATGTGTCTTTTGTGAATATGGAGGACCAAATGTGGAATCGATGCAAACTTGAGGGATGAAAACGGTAATTTCCCCAAAAATTAATTACTAATTAATTAGCTAAAAAAAATACTAAAAATAATTTGTGCACACACAACTTAAAAAAAGAATAATAATTAATCACCATCTTAAAAACTTTAACAGCATGGGCTTTGAGCTTGGGATTGTTGTGTGGGATTTCATCTGTATCCTTCAGAAATGAGAACATCTTCTTTGCTGCTGGTGCTATTTCCAGTATCCTATTCAATTTTTTTTTTTTATTATATATAATTAATCTTTATATAAACACACACACACAAACACACACACACACAGACAGAGACTTACAAAGTGAAGAAACGAAGACTAAGCTCAGGAATGTTGTGCTTGATGATTCCCATGATTCTTTAACCAATGCTTCTTGCTTCTCACTGAAACTACCCATCTTTAGTGTGTGTGTGTGTGTGTGTGTGTGTGGGTGGTTTTATACACAAAATGGTAGCAATAATATTAGACGATAAAGATAGGCCATGTTTTAGATTTTTTATTTATTATTTATTTTATCCTGTAAGAGATTTCATCATCGTTATGGGAATATATGCCAAGTGGGGGTGTGTGTGCTCATCTTACAAAATTATTTTTCTTTTTTTTTTTTCAGGTGAAATGGAATTTTTCGGAAATTAAATCAGATGGAAAATCGGAAATCCCAAATATTTTTTTTATATAATTGCAATTCCAACCCAAAAAAAAAAAAAAAAAAAAAAAAAAAAAAAAATCAGATATCGGAAATTTGAAAATCGGAATGAAAATAGTTGTTCTAAAATCAGAACTTTTCGGATCGGAACCATCAGAAACTGGAAAATTCGTTTCAACTTTCACCCCTAGTGGTGCTTTTGATTTTGGTGGAGAAAAGGGGATATGCAATTATATTTTTGGTGCGCGACATTGAAAAGAAGAAAAGGAAATCCAAATTATCACTAATCATTTTAAAACAAATGATTTCTGAAAGAATTTATGGTCCCGAATTCGTTTAATACAGAGGTGTTATATTAAGTGTTATGACACTTGTATAAACATGCAGCGGAAATATAAAAACAATACTCAGATTTAAAAATGTTCACAAGTAAAACTTGTGAACTTGTCCTTTAAAGGACGTAAAAATTATATTAAAACAGTATTACAAAAATACAAAGAGAAGAAGTACACAAACTTCTTCCTTATGAATGAATCACTAGCTTGATCATTCTTACAACTAAATCTAGAAACAAAAAGATAAATACTAAAAATTCTAGATTTCAAAGAATGTACTCGTGAGGAGTACGTACAACAGATTCTAGAAACACACTAAAACTCTCATGAATTCTTTTCAGCTCTCGGTTTTTGTTTCTTCGAATCCTTAAACTTCCTTGAGTCTTGGAGTCGGTATTTATAGACATTCCCAGCTTCCACTCCTCAGCCCATGATCTGCAAGAAAACCAACTACAAGAGCACTCAAGAACATGGGTTAGTGGGTGAGTTTAGTAGTTAAAATAATATCCACAATTCAACCCACTAAGCACTACTTAGCCCACTAAGTATTATACTTAGCCCACTAAGCCATAACTAAAATTTAGTTTGAAAATAAGAGAGTTAAAAACACATTGTGGAAATCCACGTGTTTCAAACTCCCCGTTTTTAACTTTCTGATCAAAACTAAATTTTCAATTTTAGCTTAACTCCCCCTGAGACATTGCTTGAACTCCCCCTGAATTTGATAACAACCATAGCAAATAAAAAATATTGAAAGATCTGATTCAAAAACAAATTCAGCAAAGATAGTCAAACATAATTCAACAAACATAAATCAACAAAAGTGCAATCCTAAAAAGTTCAGAGGGAAAAATAAAACAGAACAAAAACAAATATTGTTTATAAAAAAACAATTAAAGTAGAATATCCAAGGTCTCCTAGTATCAGCTGCTGTTCCTCCATCACTAACACTGGACCCACTGCTTTCCTCTGCTCCTTCAGCTTCACCCTCATTCTTTTCTTCTTCTTCATTAACTCCATGATCTCTGCCTCTGGCATCCAAAGGATGAGAAGTCCCTGCTTCAACTTCATGACCAACTTGTTCTCCCCCTTTTTGATCAGAAAGAGCTCTCTGAAGCATTTCCACCATGGACTGATGATAGGTGATCTGAGCTAGGGAGTGAGTAAGCTGTTTTAACAAAAGATCTCGAGGAATAGAAACAAGGATGTCAGGGGTGTTGTCAACATGAGGAGCAACACCTTCAGTACCAAGATTATTTTGACCTAATTCAGTTGGGAGAAAATATCTCCATTCCAGTGAAGATCTTGGACATGAGGAGCTTTGAGAAAATTTTGAGAAACAGTTATCATGCCAAGTGGAGTGTGAAGATATTCTGATTCATCTTGGCCCAAATTTTGAGAAAGCATAATGGAGTAGATGAGAGAAGGATAGGGAAGATGAGTGGAGGAAGAAATTTTCTGGGCAAGATGACCTATGTTATTGAAGAAAAGTTTGCCAAAATCAACAGGTAACCCCATCCCCAATTTGTACATGAGTACTGCATGAGGTTTAGTAATCACAGAGACATTTTTGGATGGAATCCAATTCATCACTGTGAGTCTGAACAAGACAGAGTAAAATGCAGTAAGTTGAGTAAAAGACAGAGTCCAAAGTTTGGAGAATTTTTCTTTAAAAATGAGGTTTGTAAATTGGCATAAAATTCCTTCACAACAGATGGATCATAAGGACAGGCAATCTCAACTAGACTAAGGATTTTTCTTTCATCAAGAAAAGCAGTGATCCTATGCCTATCAAACTCATCCTTGGAAATTTTCTTTTCCTCAATGAATTGACAATTCATGATTTGAGGACCCATGTTTGAATCAGATTCAAAATAAAAGGTAGGACTGAAAGCATTGTTTACCTCAAAAGGAGTTGACAAATCCTTCCCATCCAAGTCTAGCTCTTCATCCTCTGAGGGTTCCTCTTCTTCTGAGTCTTCAAGTTCATCTGGGATGTATGCTGGCTCAGGTGATGCAACAGGTGGAGCAGCATCTTCTTCCTTCTGAGATGAGTCCTCAGAAGAGTCACTGTCTGACTCTGAGGATGGCAAATTCTTGTGGAAAGAGGCAAGGGGCACTTCCTAGTTGTCATCACTTTTCTCTTCCTCTTCAACCTGGGAAGGTGGTGCATCCACTTGAACAGCTGCCTCTGCCAGAGTTTCCAGAGGATCTTCATGTGGAGCTGAGGGTGTTTCTTCTGTGGTGGTAAAGTCATGGGCATCAACAGTGGGAATATCTACATGCTCAGTTGAGGACATCCCAGAAAAGTCTGGCATTTCCTCATCTTGGTAGGGAGCAGCATCCTCAGCAGCACTCTGAGGGGCATTGTCTGAGATAGTAGCTGCAGCAGCATTTTCAGGAACATGTGCGGCAACATCTTCGGAAACAGGATGTTGAGAAGAGGTTGCTGCCATGTTAGGCTGAAGTGTCTCCCCCTAAGTTGATGTTGGTGGAGTCGAGTTTTTGATGGATGACTCAGTGGAGCTTGAGGAGAGAGGTTGAGCTTCTGGTTCTGCAAAGGTAGGATCTCCTTCTTCATCATCTGTTTCTTCATCAACCAAATGTAGACCTCTTGGGGGATTTGGTCTAACTGGAGTACGACCGCCTCTGCCGCTTCTTCTTCCACCTCTGCCGCCTCTGCTGGGAGAATTTCCTCCCCTCCGGCGTTGTGACCCAGTAGCATTCAGATCTGGGAAGAGATTCATGCGCTTGGACCGGCGAGTAGGAAACCTTCCTGCAGTGGAAGAGGGACCCAGGTTCTGGAAATTGTCTGGGTCAATCGGATTCATTTCGTCGCCGGGCTCAATAAAGCTGATCGGCATAGCAAACGAGCTTCGTCAGTGGTGTGCGACTTATGGGCACTGCCGTCTACCCCCCTTTATGAAGTCCTTTT